AAAAGAAAGTGGGTGTGAAGGAGTGTGGGGGTGTGAAGGAAAGTGGGTGACAAAAGATGGGTGTGAAGAAAGTGGGTGGTGAGAGTGTGGTTGTGAAGAAAGTGGTTGAAGGAGAGGGGTGTGAAGGAAAGTGGTGTGAAAAAGTGAGTGTGATGGAAAGTGGGTGTGAAGGAAATGGTTGAAGGAATGTGTGTTAAAGGATGTGGGTGTAAGAGAAGGGGTTGTGAATGAAATTGGGGTGAAGGAAAGTGGTGTGAAAGGAAAGTGGGGTTGGAAGGAAAGTGGGTGTGAAGAAAGTGGTTGTGAAAGATAGTGGGTGTGAAAGGAAATGGGTGAAGAGTTGGGTGTGAAGAAATGGGTGTGAGGAAAGTGGGTGTGAAGGAAATGGAGTGGGAAGGAAAGTGGGTGTGAAGAGTGTGTGTGAAGGAAATGGTTGTTGGAAGGAAATGGGTGTGAAGGAAAGTGTGCGAAGAAATGGGTATGAAGGTCAGTGGTTAGAGTGTGGGTGTGAAAGGAAAGTGGTGTAAGGAAGGGGGTGTGAGGAAAGTGGTGTAAGGAGGTGGTGATGAAGAAATGCGTGTGAAGGAAAGGTGGGTGTGAAGAAAGTGGGTGTGAAGAAAAGTTGGTGTAAAGGATTGAGGGTGGAAGAAAGTGGGGTGAGTGACGAAAGTGGGTGTGAAGGACAGTGGGTTGAAGATAAGTGGGTGTGAAGGAAGTGGGTGTGAAGTAAGTGGGGGGTAGAGTGTGGGTGTGAGAGGAATAGTGGTGTGAAGGAAATGGGTGTGAAGAAAGTGGTGTGAAGGAAAGTGGGTGTTAAGGAAAGTGGGTGGCAAAGTCAGTGGGTGGGAGAAGAGAAACTAAACGAGACTTGGAACACTCTGGGTGGAGGGAAGGTGATGTAGCAGTGTAGTAGGGAGTGAGTAGTGAACACTCTGGTGGAGGAAGTGATGAAGCATTGTAGTAGGAGGGTGATTGAAACACTCTGGTGAGGGAAGGTGATGATGCATGTATAGGAGGGGTGAGTGAACACTCTGGGTTGAGGGAAGGTGATGAAGCAGGTTGTTAGTAGGGAGGGTGAGTGACCACTATCTGGTGGAGGGAATGTGATGAAAGCATGTAGAAGGGAGGTGATGATACACCTCTGGGTGGAGTAGGTTAAGTACAATGATTAGGGAGGGGTGAGTGAACACTCTGGGTGAGGCAGAGATGAAGCAGGTCGAAAGGAGGGTGATGAACACTCTGGGTTGAGGAAGGTTGCTGAAGCAGTGTAGTGGAGGGTGAGTGAACACTCCCCCCCCCTGGGAGAGGAAGTTGATGAATTGGCATAGTAGTAGGGAAGGGTGAGTGAACACTCTGGGTGGAGGGAAGGTGGATAGCAGAGATAGAGGAGGGTGATTACACGTCTGGAGGAGGGAAGTGATGAACAGTTGTGAAGGGAGGGGGAGTTAACACTCTGGGTGGAGGAAGGGTGGATGCAGCAGTGTAGAAGGGAGGTTGAGTGAACACTCTGGGTGGAGGGAAGGTTATTAAGCAGTGTAGTAGGGAGGGTGAGGAACGAACTCTGGTGAGAAGGTGTATAAGCATGTAGTAGGGAAGGGTGAGTGAACACTCGGGGTGGAGGGACTGTGTTGAAGCAGTGTAGTAGGGACGGTGAGTGAACACTCTGGTGGAGGGAAAGGTGATTGAAGCATGTGTAGTAGGGAGGGTAAAAGTGAACACCTCCTGGGTGGAGAAGGTGGTTGAAGAGTTTAGTAGGGAAGGGTGAGTGAACTCTGGGTGGAGGGAAGGTGTTGAAGCAGAGTATTAGGGAGTGTAAGATAGAACACTCTGATGGAGGGGTCGATAAGACCCCCTTAGCTGTTACTTCGCACCTTCCCCCACCTGTTAGTTAGTATGTCTGGTTTTATCAGAAACAATCGACCAGTGTTCCTGGAACGTGGGCCTTAGCCATATGATGGCCCACCATTGTAGCTTTTGTTCATATGACCCGAGGCAATTCCCTTGTCTAACTCGTCCACCCACTTTAAAATTATGGTTAAGACATAACATAGATCCTTTCTCCAGCTGAGATAAAATGAGTGTGGTCCTACCCCCCTCTTGAGGTTTGCACGGGGTCGAGATCCCGAGCTCCTGCCCCGCCTCTCACTGATCGCTACTTAGTCACTCTCCCAGACCCGTGAGCTAATCATACCGTGTGGTGTGTGTGTGTGTGTGTGTGTGGTGTGTGTGTGGTGTGTGTGTGTGTGTGTGTGTGTGTGAGGTGGGTTGTGCGTGGGTGTTTTTCTTGCCTACGTTACCTCCTTTTCTTTGACCCTCGATAGAAATATAATCGCCAAGGAACAAAATAAAATAAAATATAAATCACTGGTCTTTTAACCCGCTGGTTTAAATCTCCACCACTCTACTACAGTTTTAATTAAGTGAGAATAACAAAACAGCCCAATTTGCATATTAATCTCTCTTCAGAGTAAAACGCTCCAAACCGTCACTGTTTTTTCTA